TGCATCGAGTGCAGTGGTATCCACCGGTCACTTGGAACTCACATTTCCAAGATTCGTTCGCTTACACTGGATGTCAACTCCTTCTCCAATGATATCGTTGAAATTCTGTTGCAGATTGGTAACCGTGTCAGCAATATGATTTGGGAGGCAACCCTCGATCAGGCTCAAAAGCCGGTGGCGGCTTCTACTCGTGAGCAGCGGCTCAAGTTCATCACCGCCAAGTACAGTGAACGGGCGTTTGTTCAGCCACTTCCATCTCCCTTGTCGCGTTTCACTACCTCAGACGAGACTCTTCTGGCTGCGATTAAAAGGAATGACATTCAGGGCGTGCTATATGGAATTGCCCTTCGTGCCAATGTGAACATCACCGATCGCTCTCGCAGCACTCATGCCATTTTTCTTGCTTTAGCCGCAGCGGATCCAGCATCGCCTGGTGCGGCCTCAAACCTCTCGGTCAAACCCAGCGGGGCGCCTACAGTGAAGGCCATCCCATTCCCTATCGCAGAGCTACTGGTCCAGAACGGGGCCGAGATTCCCTCGCAACCTCCTCCCATCCCTCTTTCATCGGCCGCTCAGTTATATCTGAGCCAAAGAACCGCCAGAGTATCTGCTTACGGCTCGCCTCCGGCTGCGCCGTCACCTGGGAAAGCTACCCCCGATTCTCTCGGTTCAGTACCTGCAATTCGAGGCGCAGGGAATGACCATGTCATTCCGACACCCCAAGCGCCGAGCTCTTTAGACAGTAAGGAGCGCGAGAAACTACAGAAAAGGGGCAGTGCTGGGGCCAGGTTTGCTGGAAAGGTTGCTTCCTTGGGAATTGACCGCTAGCAAGTCCTCGCCGTGAGTGCTATTCTTACTTTATATCATGAGCCCTTTCTCCCAGGCATGTTGGTGGGGCTATTCCTTAATAGTAATTATAACGAAGCTCAAGTAGATACGATGTGATGTTGAAACTCTTGTTTGAGACGTTTTCAGTCTGCATAGCTGCCGGCGGACAGTATGCTCTTGTCGGTATGCAATATACTACACTTAGTCTTTCTGTCACTTTCTGTGGATATGTTCTCCCTGACGCATGGGGCGTACCCCTGGTCTTACTTCCTTTCTCTCCCACCACTATCCACTGTGCTTCCCTTCCATCTTCTTCTTTCTCTCGGACCCTTTTTCGTTCCACCCAACCTTCATTTTGCAGGCTGGCCATCGCCTTTGGTCAGCTGATACCCCTTTTCATCTTCGAAGTGCTGCGTAAACTCGAGCAAGATCCGGCTGGCCCGGCATCGTACGCTCATGTTCGAGCTCTTCAACCACCTAGAACCAGAATCTGTTCTGCTATGCTGATAACAATGAGCATCCATGTTGTATATGAGCCTCTAGACATTAATGCCGAGTATACACCGGAGTAGCCAAGATCTAATCTCCGTCAGGCTTGTAGAAGAAAGTTCGCAGCGTGCCCGTCATTGACCATGGCTCGTAAGGAACGTGAGAGTAACCCTCCCAATGAGAAACTAGATGGAGAGCGGTCCTCTCGCCTCTCAATATCCCACGCACGGGGTGGACTTCGCCATGCGGCCACCATATTTAGAGGGTGAGGCCAATTGGCGCTCGTCCTTTGGATGGGTGGAAGGCCGGACGGCCGAATCCAACGCCATCGAGAATGAAGTGGCACAAAAACACGGCAAATCGGTGGAACATGGTGAGCAGAACATTATGCGACGTAAACCGAAGGCTAAGACATCGGCTGAGAAAGAACCTATCGCATCATGACTACACACAGTAGCAGTGGAGCCCTTACCCATGAGAGAAAACTGCGCACTCGAATCTGTAAATTGGGAATTCTGGTTGAACAGGGGGTGGTAATCAGCTGGCACAGCCTCTGCAATGTGCTTTGCCACCGTAGTTGACCTGTGTTCTTCGGTGTGACTGGTATCCGACAGGATGAGGATGATCCTCCTGTCTGGCGGTCCTGGCGGATGAAGGGACACATGCCGCCGCCGAGCCGAGTTGATAAGCGCGCATGATGTCGGCGACAGGCATCACTATCTGACCCCCCTCGTGCGAATCACAGAGCCATCGACAGCCCCATTGGACGATCGCAGTAGCTCTACACAAGCCACCGCAGCGCCGAATACCTTAAAGGGGATGAGCTGGCGAGATGGCGTTTCCCGTTTGTGGAGACCAGCCTGGGACTTCGTGCTATGGGGTGGTGCACGCAGATACTAGCGAGATTGGAGACGGCATCCATGCTGGTGGCAGAAGTCAGCGATGGATCTGGGTGTGCTGTGTACCACAATCAGACCTTCCATCCTAAGGCTCGGATCGGATGCGGTCATGCATATTCAGGGCCATGTATATGGATTTAGTCGGGCGACGATGAAATTGATGAGCGGATCGTTCGTCCCGTGGTAAGATTGTGTAGTCTTTTTCCCGGTACCAATTGGTGGGTTATTCATAGTCAGACAGAGGTACCGGCGCCGTGGCTGTATGGATCCCACATCCATTTTCTCATTTTCCCAATGCTCGAATCAACAGAGGCCGTAGAGGAGGGGGTACGAGAAGGCTGGAGGATGCGAGGTGTTCGCGGCCCCATTCAAGAGCATTCGATGACGTCATATTCATTAGCTTTCGGCGTGGCGTTCAAGAGGGCAACCGCGGTGGAAAGAAACGGACGATCGCGGTCAATCATTTCCTTCGATGAGATTCCAAAACCCCCTCACCTGGTCGGGAATGATCTCGAGATCTGAATTGGGGCAAAGACGAAATGAATTGGGGTGGAGGGGGAGCTTGTTTGGATGGTCCGTGGTTTGCAAGCCGTGCAGGGGGGTGGGCAGCAGGAGAGCTCCTTTGTGGTGTGTGCTTTTGGATAATGCATTCAAGTCAGTCAGTCTACGCGCACACACACGCAGCACACAAACACACACACACACACACACACACACACACA